GGGGTCCCAATTGTCTTTTTTAAAAATGTAAAATCTTCTCGGGAGCACCCAATTATCTTTTTTAATATGAAACCTTCTCGGGAGCACCAACTGTCTTTTTTAAAAATGTAAAACCTTCTCGGGACATACAGTTGTCTTTTTTTTAATGTGAAATTTTTCGCAGGTACCAACCGTCTTTTTTAATAGTGTCTATCTTTCTTAAAAATGTAAAATCTTCTCGGGGGCCCCGAATGACTTTTTCTAACGTGAAACCTTCTCAGAACTCCCAACTGCCAAATGTTTTTTATTAATGTAAACCCTTCTCGAGAACACGCAATTATCTTTTTTTTAATGTAAAATCTTCTCGGGGTTCCAACTGTCCTTTTTAAAAATGTAAAACCTCGGAGGAACCCAATTGTCCTTTTTTTAATATGAAACTTTCTCAGGGGTCCCAACTGTCTTTTTAAAGATGCAAAACCTTCTCGGGTCATACAGTTGTCTTTTTTTTAATGTGAAACCTTCTCTGGCTTCCCAACTGTCTTTTTTAAAAATGTAAAACCAATGCTAAACCTTCACGGGGGCACCCAATTGTCTTTTTTTAATGTGAAACCTTCTCGGGGTTCCCAACTGTCTTGTTTAAAAATGTAAAACCTTCTCGGGAGCCCCAAATATCTTTTTTGTCAATGTGAAACCTTCTCGGGGGTCCCAACTATCTTTTTTAAAAATGTAAAACTTTTCGGGGGCACCCAATTATCTTTCTTTTAATGTGCAACCTTCTCGGGGGTCCCAATTGTCTTTTTTAAAAATGTAAAATCTTCTCGGGAGCACCCAATTGTCTTTTTTACTATGAAACCTTCTCGGGGGCACCAACTGTCTTTTTTAAAAATGTAAAACCTTCTCGGGACATACAGTTGTCTTTTTTTTAATGTGAAATTTTTTGCAGGTCCCAACCGTCTTTTTTAAAAGTGTAGAACCTTCTCTGGAGTCTCAACTGTCATTTTAAAAAATGTAAAACCTTCTCGGGAGCGCCAAATGTCTTTTTTTAATGTAAAACATTCTCGAGAGCACCCAATTGCCTTTTTTTTAATGTGAAAGCTTCTCCGGGGTCCCAACTGTCTTTTTTAAAACTGTAAAACCTTCTCGGGGGCACCAAATGTTTTTTTTTTTTTTTTTTCAAGAATGTGAAACCTTCTCGGGGTCCCCAACTGTCTTTTTTAAAAATGTAAAATCTTCTCGGGAGCACATAATTGTCTTTTTTTTATGTGAAACTGTCTCTTTAAAAATGTAAAACCTTCTCGAGGGCATCCAATTGTCTTTTTTTAATTTGAATCCTTATCGGGAGTCCCAACTGTCTTTTTTAAAAGTGTAAAACCTTCTCGGGAGCACCCAATTGTCTTTTTTAAAAATGTAAAACCTTCTCGGAGGCGCCAAATGTCTTTTTTCTAATGTAAAATCTTCTCGAAAGCACCCTATTGTCTTTTTTTAATGTCAAACCTTCTCGGGGGTCCCAACTATCTTTTTTAAAAATGTAAAACCTGTTCGGGGGCACCCAATTGTCTTTTTTTAATGCGAAACTTTCTTGGAGGTTCCAACTGTCTTTTCTTAAGAAAGTGAAACCTTCTCGAGGGTCCCAACTCTCCTTATTTAAAGAAGGCGAAACTTTCTCGGGGCTCCCAACTGTCTTTTTTTTAAGAGAATGAAACCTACTTTTTTTCTCATAGATAAAACTCTTGAACACGGAGAAAGATATTGCAATTCTCTAAAACCATTGTTTATTGTTTGTCGGGGAAGCAAACCTATAGTTGTATTTTTTGTATTATAAAACTAATATAACACATTGAGTGTTTTATATCATTATAATTGCAATTTAATGGTGTATCTATTCGGTATAAACATATAGGTTACTATTTAAAAAAATGTAGTCCGACGGCATACTTGTGTCATATTTGCAACGTACTAAATTTTAAGCTAAAATCAACAGTGTTTACAGAATTTTAATATCTCTATCCGTTCTCAAATCTTGGGCATCTGTATACCATCATTATATATTTATTGTCACTTTTAATCTTTTTATAAATAATTCTGTTTGTTTTTAATAAGATTTTTTTGTCTTCCTGCGGGACGACCAAAAATAAAATACTCTTCGAAATGAATTAAAGACAAATATTTACGTGAATATGTAACGCCGAATTTTTATTTTACTTTGGGTGGAAAGCACGGCAAAAGTTTATTGGCATAAATAATTCATGCGTGTTTTGAAATAAATATGCATATCTAGTAGTATTCGGGAAAGTAAATAACGTAGGATTTTTTCAGTATTCGGTAAATTTGTTCGAGTTGCTAAACAACGCATCAAAAAATAAAATCCCTCGGTGCAGCATTCGGCTAATTTGTGCCCGTGCCTTCCATAAACGTAAAAATATAACACAAAATATATTTTATATCCCGGCGCCTCCACCAAATTTAGCCAAACGAAAAAAACCGTACGCGAGAAAGTTTACTTTAATTTTTACGATCGTTATCAAACCCTGCTTGTAAAATAAGTGCTATATTAACAAGTCTAAAACATCCTTTGTTTAATGAACGCGGCAATTATACGGATGTAAAAAACCAAGAGGTCATGTTGTAAAATATTATTTCTTTACTCGCAGCCGCGCGTTATTAAAGCTTATCTCGAAATTTATCTCCTTACAATAGCCGGCAAAAAAGTTGTTACTTTGCTATAAAATAATTATGCTCGCCGTCTCCGCCAAATAATGAACATAAAACTAGATTTCTTCGGCGTATGATAGAAAGTTTATTGCTCGGAGCTCCCAAGAGCGCTTGATCCTCTCACGAAACTAACAAAAACACAAAATAGCAATATCACAATCGCAGTATTATACCGTTTATTTGACTTTAACGCAGTGTTGTCAGCAATACGCAATCGTAAGCTTGAAATATTAGTCCGGGTAGTCATACATCAACGTAATGCCTTCTGATATATGAGAAAGGGGAGGACCGATTAAAACATTCGATGTCAAAAATTCACACTCGCAAATCATAAACAGGACTACAAGGACAATTAAGACAAAGGCACCCACCGCTTCCTTCCACCACACTTGTATAACGTCATTATACTTTCTCTATTGTCTCACATTCGACAATTAAATTGACACCGATGTAATTAATTAGTGTTGTTTGCCTCCTCTACCAATATACAAAACGACTGATATTGGCACAAAGCTTTAGATAAAATAATATACACGACTCTCTAACTCTATTACGTACCTTGCTTTCAACTAAAAGCAAAAACAAACCACCTAGAACAAATTAGCGTCATATTTGTATTTCTCTGTAAAACACTATATAATTATTTTACGCCCCTATAATTAACATATCAAAAGAAACTTTAACCACCTACACACTCCAAACGATTTTCGCACCTCTGTGATTTCAAATTTTATTTCACCCTAATTGTTCTACAGAAGACAAAAGTCAAACTTTACATGTTCATTGTGCGTCAATTTGTTACCAAAACGTCGCAAACTTAAACGATGCGGAACGGAGACAGTCAAAATTTTGCCAATATTTCGAAACGGGACGGTACTTGGCGATCATTGAAAATCTCTTAATGCTTTTAGTTTCGGATAAATCTGATCTAAAAAAAGACGCCGTCGGCGGTAGAGAGCGGGTCTTTTATCTCGTGTTAACAGTAAAGGATTATTTGGTGCATTGGTCCCAACAGAAATCTGTTATAACCCCAGAACAATGTCGATGCGTTTCAACTAGTGCGAGTCGGAGACAGCGTAGCTGCTGAACACCCATCTTAACATATACATATTTAATTTCCTTCTCTTTCTTTAAACAAATCTGGATATAAAACAGTCGTTGTTATTGATTGAAATTTTTTTTTTCATTTATTAGTATAGTCCTGAAGATGGCGTTGCCGAAACCGGTTAATTAGTAATAAACGGCAGAAAAATTTGTGTGCCTTCGCACTTTTGTAGACGTTTCAGTTATTGATTTTGAGTTATTTATTTACGAAAAGAACTCGCGAACATTTTCTGGCGAATTTAGCTTTAATATTTGTTGAAACCTGAAACGAAATTTGCGGCCGCCATTTTGGTTTTTAAAATTTTGTGACCGAAAAATTGATTTAAAGTTTAAAAAAATATTGTTGATGGGGCGAGAATGGATATTATGTGTCAGTAACTTAAATATTTGTTTTAGGGATTTAGTAAATTAAAAATCAACATATTCTTTTATACAGGCGGTTCTATCATCGACGGGCAAATAGATACAAGGTTCCATGTATATTAAGTGCGCTCAGTTGAGTGCAGCTGAAACTCGTGACAAAATGCAAGTGTTCTGCATAAAATAAATCAGGAGTGAAATCCAGATTTGATTTATCAGTTTTTGTGTTTCAATGTGTGTCTAAGCCGTACAGATTTAACAAATATTTCTTTGGTGGTGTAGCTAATACGGGATAATTCATCTCAATTTCAAAATATAAATCCAAAGCTGTGACTTTTTTTTAATCTGTTTTATTTGTATTTTTTTCTTTATTTTTATTTCTGTGTAACCAAACTTACCATCCTCCGGCGTTTCTCAAATAATAAAGACATCATTAATTTAAAAAAAAAACAACAAACTGAAGCGTGCAGCGTGCTACAAAAAATTGAACACTTTTTAAGCGACTTTATCGCACAAACAGCAGAATTACCGCCTATAGGTTCTTACAATTACTGCCGTAATTTTATCTTTAAAGCTGCACGATTTAACAGCGTCGAAGTTTTCTTTTTTCATCTGGTCAAGCCAAGGCGAGCGACACGTTTTTGTACCAATTCTACTTTTACTAAAAACATGTTCAGCCCCGGTATCCAAAAACGAAGCGTTTTCCTAAATTAGGCAGCCTTTGTCCTTTTTTCTAAACGGGCTTAAAAGCGATCAAAAAAGCTCTTAACGAGTCCCGTCGATACAGGATCTCGGTGGATTTTTCTTTTTTTTTTTTAGGCAGTTGTAAGTAAAGTGTAACTTACCACGTGGATCGCGTCGTGAAGGATACCATACACAATGTGTTTCACCCGCGACGTTCGAGTTGCTACTGAAGCATCGGACGCATCCTGTTCAGGATGTCTGATCTATCCTGCTTTGCGCTTGTGTCAGGATGACACCCGACCACATAAACAGTTCTCTATTTCATGTATATACGTACGTAAAATTGAAACCGCGCAATTATTGTGTTTCAGGAGATATTAACCACTTGTGTTGATTAGTCAAGTGCACCACAACGCGACACTTTTTAATTAATTATCGTCCGTGTTCTTCCATTTTCTATTTAACGAAGCTACCTTTTTGCTTGTTTACGTGGGCGTGCAAGATTTTGCTTAGTCTCCACGTCAAAACATCGTTACGGCCAAACGTAACATCGATTTCATTTTGTCTTTGATTTGTTAGGCGCTGTCATAAATAAACTCAAGCCCGTTATTGAAAATACCTTCCGAAAACAAAACGAGATTCGAGTTACAGAAACTCCTAATTTTTTAGAAGCAAGATTCAAACAACGACGATTAAAATTCGCGTTTTAACTCATAAGCCTACTACATATTTATTGGCTTTCAATTTAGACGGTTGTTTCAATGTAACATTTTATACGTTAACATAACGTTTAGATAACACGCTACCTTACTATGCACTAACGTTTATTTTAAGTTTACATGTAACTTTTATACGAACTTCACTTTTAACCTTGTTTAATAGCACTATCCATCCAACGAGTATTTTAATGAAATGTGATACGTTGATATAACGTTTAGATAACATGTAACAATACTAACGTTTATTTGAAGGTTACATTTAACTTTTATTTAATGTATCTGCTTTTATGTTTTCTCGATGTTCTATGGCCCCTAGTGTACTAAAAATAGCTCTCACGTCTGTATGTCTGTCACAGTTATCTCCGAAACTACCGAACCGATTGTTGTCAAATTTTAATTCTGTTGCATAACGTGTTGTAAACCTGTACTCATTACGAAATTTGTTGTTTCTGTTTCTGTCTCTGTCCGATACACTAAATTTACGTAGATAAAGAATGCCCGCACATAAGTAAATACAGTGTGTCAGTAACAAAAACATACCATTTAACACTTTGCTAACTTTTAAAAGACTAATCGAAAGTTATTTCGACAGAACTTCCCTCGCTTCTTAACTACAGTCCAACAAATACTACGTTTCTGCAATTTTTCGTTTCAGGTTTTTATTTTCTTTATTTTTACAGTTTTACAGATTTTTCAATTTCACTTTTTTTCAATTTTTCGTTTCGTCAATTTTTCAATTTGCAACTATTCAATTTTTTGTTTTTCTTTTCCACAATTCTGCGATATCTCTCCGAGTTTTCATTTTTAAATTTTTCAGTTTTCCGATTTTCGAACTTTCGAACGTTTCAGTTTTTAAATTTTGTAGTATTTCGATTTGAAATTTGACCAGTTTTGAATTTTGAATTTTTTAATTATTACATTTTTCAGTTTTTCAATTCTTCAGTTTTTCGAGAAAAAGGAGAAAGCAAATTATTGACTAACAACCGAGGGGTTGAGTTTAATTTGTGGTAACATCAAATTTCTCTAGAAAATTCTACCCTTTCAGAAACATGTTTCATATGGTCATTTCTTGTAGAGAAATGCGGATTTTGCAACTAAGCTCCACTCCTCAGCTCACGATGAATAACAAATTCATTACAATTGAGAAGGGGTGGGTGGGCGGGCGAAATATTTTGTACATTTTTTCTTTTACAATATACGAAGTTTTTTTCCCAATAAGAAACAGAAAACATGTTAATCCTGTTGTTGAAAGAAAACTCTGTATATTAAAAAAAAAAAAACAATGATTAAAACCCACCCACCCGCCCCGATCTCAATTGTGATGAATTTTTCATTCGTTGTTGGACCGAGGGGCTGAGCGTAATTGCAAAATACATATTTCTCTACAAAAATTTACCATTTTCAACATATTTTAAGTTTCTTGTTGTGCAAGGATGACTACACGTACTAAGAAAAAAAAACGCAAACAAATCTGACAAAGAATTAAATAAACAAGTTGTGAATACAATTAAGAAAATGAAAATTAAAAAATTGGGAAAATGAAAAAACAAAATAAAGAACTTGAAATCTGAAGAAACAAAAAACTCAAAAATCAAGAAATTAAAAATTGAGAAACTGAAGACGCGAAGAATGAAAAATTGAAAAATTTCAAAACGAAAAATTCAAGAAACAGTAAACTCAAAAATTTGCAAACGTGAAATCGAAAAATTGATAAAATTAGGATCGGTTTATGGAAAGCGAATTAAATATTGAATCCTCGATTAATTTAACGTAGGATTAAAATGTAGAATATGAGCCCGTGATTGGTTAAAGTATTAGTGTAGTGTTATTGCTGTGAACACGAAAGAAAATTGATATTTTTCCGAAAAGGACCGAAAACGGGGTAAGTCCGACTTCAGTTTCAATTTATCGGATTCCGTGATTCGTTTACTCGATACTGTTTAAATTTTGGAGAAATTTTCGAAACGGTTTAAGTTGATCGATCAAAGCTATAAATTTTCACGATATAATTAAATAATATTTAAAGATAATTAATATTATTTATAATGTTTAAATACGATACGTATTAATATATGATAATTAAATCGAACACATTTTCTTAAAAACACAAAGTTACTACAAACAAAGCAATTTGTTTAAATATTATTAAATTAACCCCGAAAATGAGCAATTTCCCGGTTAAAATATGAAAAATAATTTTTGCAATCTCATCGTGACAAGCGATGACGTCACAGTTACGTGAGCTACCTGTCCAAAGGTCACGTTTTTCGGTTCTTTGTGTTCAGTTTTAATTTCTGTTTGATGGCGACAAGATCGTTGCGTCCTTTTGACGTAAAAGTAGACCAATTTCGCGAATTTCTAATTTATTATTAGTAAATATTAGGGAAAATGTGTTGCGTTATTGTTGTGAACACGGAAGAAAATGGATATTTTTCCGAAAAGGAAAGAAAACAGGGTAAGTAGGATTTCAGTTTTAATTTATCAGATTCCGTGATTCGTTTACTTGAGAAAGTTTAAATTTTGGGGAAAGTTTCAAAACGATTGAAGTTGGTCGATCAAAGCTATAAATTTTCACGATATAAATAAATAATATTTAAACATAATTAATATTATTTATAATGTTTAAATACGATAAGTATTAATGTATCATAATTAAATCGAACTCCGATTTCTTCAAAACGCAAAGTTACTAAAAACAAAGCAATTTGTTTAAATATTATTAAATTAACCCCGAAAATGTGCAATTTCCTGGCCAAAATATGAAAATAATTTTTGCAATCTCATTGTGACGTACGATGACGTCACTGTCACGTGAGCTACCTGTTCAAAGGTCGCATTTTTCGGCCCCTTGTGTTCAGTTTAGATTTCGGTCTGATGGCAATAACATTGGAGCTCCGGTTTGGTTGAAAAGTAGGACTCTTTTCCCTCATTTCTAATTTATTATTAATAAATATTAGTGAAAATGTTTTGTGTTGGTGCTGTGAACACGAAAGGAAATGGATATCTTTCCGAAAAGGACTGAAAACGGGGTAAGTACGACTTCAGTATAAATTTATCGAGTTCCATGATTCGTTTACTCGACAATGTTTAAATATTGGAAAAAATTTCGAACCGATTGAAATTGATCGGTCAAAGCTATACATTTTCACGATATAATTAAATATAATTTAGACATAATTAATATTATTTATAATGCTCAAAAATGGGAAGTAACTAATAATATATGATAATCAAACCGAAAACCGTTTTACTAAAAACACGATGGTATTAAAAACAAAACAATTTAGTTAAATATTCTTAAGTTAATCCTGAAAATGTCTGATTTCCCGGCCAAAATATGAAAAATAATTTTTGCAATCTCCTCGTGACGTACGATGACGTCACTGTCACGTGAGTTACCTCTCCAAAGGTCACGTTTTTCGGTCCTTTGTGTTCAGTTTTAATTTCTGTTCGATGGCGACAAGATCGTCGCCTCCTTTTGGCGTAAAAGTAGAGCAATTTCGCAAATTTCTAATTTACTATTAACAAATATTAGGGAAAATGTGTTGTGTTATTGCTGTGAACACTAAAGAAAATGGATATTTTTCCGAAAAGGACCGAAAACAGGGTAAGTAGGACTTCAGTTTTAATTTCTCAGGTTCCCTGATTCGTTTCCTCGACAAAGTTTAAATTTTGGAGAAATTTTCAAAACGATTGAAGTTGTTCGATCAAAGTTATAAATTTTCACGATATTATTAAATAATATTTAAATATAATTAATATTATTTATAATGTTTAAATATGATAAGCATCAATCTATGATAATTAAACCGAAACTTGTTTTCCTAGAAACCCGAAATTATTAAAAACAAATCAATTTGTTTAAACAATGTTAAATTATTCCCGAAAATGTACATTTTCCCGGCCAAAATATGAAAAATAATTTTTGCAGTCTCATCGTGACGTACGATGACGTCAGTGTCACGTGAGCTACCTGTATAAAGGTCACGTTTTTCGGTCCTTTGTGTTCAGTTGTAATTTCTGTTTGATGGCGGCAAGATCGTCGCTTCATTTTGGCGTAAAAGTGGAGCGTTTGAGCGAATTTCTAGTTTATTATTAATACATATTACGGAAAATATGTTGTGTTAGTGCTGTGAACACGAACGAAAATGGATATTTTTCCAAAAAGGACTGAAAACGGGATAAGTACGACTTCAGTATTAATTTATCGGGTTCCATGATTCGTTTACTCGGCAATGTTTAAATTTTGGAAAAAAATTCGAAACGGTTGAAATTGATCGGTCAAAGCTATACATTTTCACGATATAATTAAATATAATTTAGACATAATTAATATTATTTATAATGCTCAAATATGGTAAGTAACTAATAATATATGATAATCAAACCGAAAACCGTTTTACTAAAAACACTATGGTATTAAAAACAAAACAATTTATTTAAATATTGTTAAGTTAATCCTGAAAATGTCTTAATTTCGCGGCCAAAATAT